ACCGGTACCAGCGAGTGCTTTTGAGAAGAGGCAGATGGCCGCCATCACCGCGACACAGTCGACATTGCTCTTCTTCTCTTGACTATGGAAGTCGTTGCGACAGACGACAAGCCCAAGCCGATCCCGGCCTACGGGGCCCATCCTCCTCAACACCCATCTGCGCCTGCGCATCCCTCAGTCCAGCAGCGAATCGCTCCTCCTGCCGAAGCGTCCCACGCCCTGCCTTCTTCGCACGCTCTCTACGAGCAGTCCTGGCGTCCCTACGCGTCGCCGTTTGACGCTGCCAATCCGGACCAGCGTCGTCAGTCGACGCCCGCCCAACCGCCGCTTCCTGCGCATAGCTATCCCCCTCCTCCCCCGAATCGGGAGCTCCCCCAATTGCCTCCGGACGTTAACCCTTACGCTCGTCCCAACAGTCTGCCAGCGCCTGCCCCAACGCACTCGCCTCAGGACGGTCATCCACAGCATCCGCAGTATCGACCCATGAATGGCGCTCCGCCCAACGAACCGGTTCCGCAGTCTGCCCCAGGCGACTACCGCCCACGCATGGCCTATCCTCCCCCCGAAGGCGCCCCAAATAATGGCGAGCCACCCCCTCCGTCCGGACAGTATGTTCCCAACGTCTCTCACATGCCCGCGACGACAGGGCCCTATGACTCGAGCTACTATCACAGCCAAATGTTTGGTCGCCAGCGGAAGGCCGCGAGAGCCCAACAGGTGAGCTATCCGCCTCTCTCTGGATCCCGACGTTCATGCTCTGACTCGGTGTTAAAAAAAAAAGGCCTGTGATCAATGTCGCGCCCGAAAAGCCAAGTGTGACGAGGGCCGTCCGTCCTGCACTCACTGCAAAGAAAACGGCCTGGTGTGTGTCTACAAAGAGGTGCCTCCTCACAAGTAAGTTCCAGACTTATAAGTTCCAGACTTAAAAGTTCCAGACTGCTTTGTCGGCCGATAATCGATTTTTTTTTCGATTTATTGACACTTGGTCCCTAGGCAAGAAAAGGCCACCCAACTTGTCCTTGACAAGTTGCAGCAACTGGAGGAACGCATGTCGCAGCAGATCGAGCAACGAATGGCCCAGATGCAGGCGGAACAGATGGCTCAGATCAAGAAATTACTCGGTCAACAGGCGGAGTCTCCGGCCGCAGCAGAGACCCCCGCCAAGGACACCTCGATTCCCAAGGCGCCGCAGAGTCACGAATCGTCGGTCGAGCGTCCGGTCACCAATGTCGAGACCCAGAGCACCCCCAGTCAGTCGGAAATTAAGGACGACGGCACTCCCACGGCCATGCCGGCGGCTCCTCAAAAGTTCGAGATGGCAGGAGGGGACATGGCGAATGACGTGATGATCAAGGATGAGGATGACGGCGAGCTCTCGATCCCGGTGGAACACACCACCGCTGCTCATAAGTTGCTGTTGTGGCCTTCCATCCGTCGGCTGCTGGCTCCCAAAGAGATCGACGAAGATTACGTGATGAAGCTGGAGGAGGAACGCGGCCTCATTCGTGTGTACGGTCGTGGCGAAGGCGATGACCGGAGTGACTACGAGAGAGGCGCCGCCAGCAGTCCGTCAACGACGAACTCTTCCAGTCCCAACTGGGAAGAAGACTACCACACCCAGGGGGCATCCCCGAATGGACCCTGGGGCACCGGGCTGCCTGCCACCACCTCCTCCACGACGTCTCACCGACCTCGAGAAGGCGTGGGTGGCTTGGATGAAACGGGTCAGTTGAATACGGATCCCGACGTGGTGCGGCGTCTGCACCGGAGTTATATGCAACATATCCATATCCTCCACCCATTCCTGGATGAGAGCAATCTGGAACGGAAGATCGAGCGATTCATCAGGATCTACAGCCCGCCCAAGAAGAACGTGGCGGGCCCGTTTATGCCGCCGGGCAACCCTGGAGACGGCCCGCGAGGCGCCAAGCGGAAGCGTTCGTCGGAGGCGCTCCATGTCGGGGGATATGACATGTCCCGTTCTCCCGGCTCCAACTCGGAACGCGCCGCTCCTCGTCGGATTGAGCGGTCTATCGAAAATGCCATCATTCTGCTCGTCCTGGCTTTGGGCGCGATTTGCGAGTGGAGAGACCGTCCTCTTCCAGGCCCCGTCAAGGATTACCCGCCGGGCCATGGCCCCTCGTCGTCCGCCCTTCAGAATGTTCTCTCTCCCGCCATGTCCGATTCAGGAATGCAGTCCTCCAGTGCCTTTTGTTCCCCGACCAACAATTCCTTCCCGTCCCCGGACGGAGGCGAGGCCCGGAAACCTACCCCTGGTCGCTCGGCCTTTGCCGCTGGCCAGGAAAACTCGGAATTTGCCCATCCCAGAAATATGGATGTGATTCCAGGATTGGCGTACTACGCTTATGCGACCGATATTTTGGGCAACCTGCAGGGAGGAAATGGCCTCTATCACGTTCAGGCTGCTCTCTTGGCCGGTCTTTATGCTGGCCAACTTGCCCATCCGTTCCAAAGCCATGGCTGGATTTCCCAGGCATCGAGGGCTTGTCAGGTGCTAGTCAGATCGTAAGTTTCTTTGTTTTTTTTTTCCCCTTTCTTTTGACGTGCTTGCCGGCAAACCAATACTAATTTGTACTAGGAAACGGTATGAGAAGATGCAAGATGGCCCAATGAAGGATCTCTGCGATTTTGCCTACTGGACCTGTCTACAGCTGGAGAGGTAAATAGTCGCACTACTTTGTCGTGAGATCGCGATGCTGATGGGTCTCTAGTGACATCCTCGCCGAGTTGGACCTCCCTGCTAGTGGTATTTCTCGCTCTGAAGGCCGGATCGCCTTGCCCAAGGGTGTCTTTACGCTGTCTCTCCCCAACGAGATCCGTGCGCCTAATACGATGATGATGTTCTTCTATTCGGCCCAGATCCACCTCCGGAAAGTCTTGAACCGGGTTCACACAGATCTCTACAAGGCTGAAAGTAAGCATGCGTCAAGCGAGATCTATTGAATAAAGTCGCTAATGGGATCATCGTGTTACAGAGAAGGGTCAGACTCGGTGGTCTTTCAACGTGTTGGAAGTCCTCAGCATGAATCTCGAATTCTGGAGGAAGAGCTTGCCCGATGTCATGAAGTGGGATGATCGAGATCCGCCTGCCAGCGATATCAACACCGCTCGAATGCGCGCCAAGTACTATGGCGCCCGCTACATCATTCACCGGCCAGTTCTCTGTCATGTCCTGCACTATATGAGCCCAGCGCAGTCTACGGCCGAGGGGGCCCAGTCCCAGCAAGTGTCTCCGTCCATGGCTCAGGGTCAACGTGCACCCGGCATGGCACGATGGTCCAGTGACATGGGCAATTCCGGCCGGCCCAACCAGGCCGACATTTGGCCCGGGGTTGCCTTCAAAGACCTGCATGTCAAGCTGCAACGGGCGTGCAAGATTTGCATTGAATCCGCCATCCAGAGTACCGAGGCGTTCGATGGGATCAAAGGTCGGCTCATCGTGACCAATATTTTCGGAACTGCTCATGCGTAAGTCTTCTCCCGTTTGTGCTATTTTGAGTGCATGGATCCTGACAGGATGCTTTTTTTTTTTGCGCTGGTCAGACAATTTGGCAACATGCTGGTCTTGGCGGCGACGTACATGTCCAGTCTCTCCGAGTTGGTGGACCGCAATGTGCTACAGCGACTTCTCCGGCGCACCATCGATTTCTTGCTAAAGAGCAAGAATATCTCCCCCAGCCTGCGTGCCGATGCCGAAATTTTGACCGAAATCTACAAGAAGATCTTTGGCGAACCCCCCAATACGACATACAGCTTGAACGACTAAACCACCTGGCTACGGCTGATGAAAATTTTTGGATTTGACTTCATGTTCTTCCTGTTGAAAGGACTAAGTGTATTGGGTCTTTGGTTGATCCTCGTATGATACCATGAGTGTGGCTTCGGAGAGGGGAGGGTTAGTTTCTTGGGGCATTTGACGTTGCATTACCACGGCATGGCGGTTTTCTGTGATCCATTGGCGTTTCTCGGACTTCTGGGGAGAGGGTGGGGTTCAGTGTCTTTCGCTGTTTTCCCCTAACCACATCTTTGCCGCCCTGGTTTGTCAGCGTGGTGTCTTGCTGCGTGTGTGGTCGCCTGGGCTGGGTCGACTTGACTCGAATCCCGGGGCCAGTCACAGCAAGCAAGTCGCATCACTTGACGTTGAGTGAGTATATACATGTATTCGTCTTTTTGTCTGTCTTTGTGTCGTCTCCATGTCTGTGTTGGGCAGCCGTTGATTTCCGACCGTGGTGACCTTGACCGGCAAAGCGACGTGTCGAATCCATTGCATGGAGGTTGTCTGCCCTGGGTTTTGTTCATGGGTTCTGCTTTGGCTGCGATCGAGACCCGTTGCATGGTGGTTGCCACTTGGTCTTTTGATTTAGGATTGGTTCTTGACTTGTATTTTTTTTGATATTTATTTTTTTGTTGATTTCGCCTCACATACTCATCAGGAGTGGCGACATTTGGGTGGCTTTCTGCTTGTCGATGATATATGTTGATTCTGCCCAGCGATCTGACCCGGTCTTGCCAGGGCTTTTGTGCTCTTGGTGGTTTAATGTCTTTGCTTCTTGATTTTTTTTTTGTGCTTACCGTTTTGCCGCCATCTATACATACATATTTTGTGCCTATGTTTTTGTTTCTTTTTCGGGTTGTTTGGCCCTGGGTCGGCTTGCTCAATGCATTTTCACGGGAGGAAGGCACGGTGGTGTCGATGTATTTTTTGTTTGTTGTGACGACCTACCAGCGATCAGCGAAAAAAGAAACCTGGGAGATGGGGCCGGGTTAGACATGGTGTTGTGTTGTATCGCAATATATAGAGAAGAGGGCTGGTTAGTTTATTGACTAGTCACTACCGTGTGTGGAGATGTCCTGTTAGGGCTGTAAATGACTCTGAATCTCCATTGTACTCTGTAGTCATTATTGATCTCAGATTGAGTGTGGTTGGGATAAGACATGTGAGACCGAGGATGCCTGTCCTCGCCTAACCCAGTGGGGTTAGATTGTAATTAGGTAATCATATGAGCGTGAGAACTTTATTCCTGTGATAGTTGCCCTGTACTATCACTACTGACCAGCAGCTCCTGGTCAAGCTTTTCTCAAGGGATTATTGATTGTTTAGTAATTAATTACTTCTCTGGACGAACAGCAATCGTCTAGACAGACTGTTAGGCACAGTCTGGATTTGTACTCCATATGGTACTATTACAGTCTACTCTGTATGGTTCGTTCTTTCGGCATTTCTCCACCTTCGTGTTCCACACTTCCCCGCATTTTTCCAAGATCTTCGTTTCGTTTATGGTCTTAATGCTATATGGCAGTCTTGGCCGGATTCTCCGCATTTTTTGGGAGTTCGTCATCCATGGCACATGCATACCCCGTCTTGTTTATGTGCAGGGATCTTGTGCAATAATAATGCAATGCGTTATTACGGAGTATTGTATGCGCTGTTAAGGGTTGATTGCCCTCGAGTGATACTACTGATAATAGCAGTGACGGACTTTGCAGGGGTGCTATTAGCTAGCAGCTAGCTACCTAGTAACTACGGAACTGAGGTCGGAACTGACTGTCTCACGGGCGATCCGCGGTTTTTCTGTCTGTCCTCTGTCCTCGGTCCATTTTGCAATTCTACCTAATTAATGCTTCAGGTGTAACGTCTCCTCCGTACTACATGTACGCCGTACATCGGCCTTGGTTATCTCGTTTTGTCCTATTGTTCTTGTGTTTTTAATGTTCTTGTTAGGGGCTTTTTGTTTCCCTGAAAGTCACTGCTAGTGCAACTCCGCCATATCATCATGTCGACTGCGACGCGCAGGGGCTGGCTGCCGCGAGAAGGTCTGTTACCGTATTTCCCCTGCATTTTTCATACTCCTGCACACGATCTGGCTAATGTATGTGAACTCTTCAGGATTCACGGCTGATCTTGTCGGTGCTTTCATCAAGAGCACGCTTCTGCACCCTGGGAAGACCCTGCTAGCGCTGCTGGTGGTCCAGTATTATGCCCCGTCAGGTCGATATCTTGGCCGCCACCATCCGACAGCCCTCCGGGCGCTGCGGGTTTTCCTCGTCCTGGGCTTCCTCCGCGCCTTCAATGCGTGGCTGAGCCGGCGAGCCATCAACAACGGCGCGTCGGACCGGTACGACTGGCCGCGCGAAGTCGTCGTCGTGACGGGTGGCAGCGACGGCATCGGCAAGCAGATCGTGCTGCTGCTGGCGGCGCGGGCCAAACCCAAGATTGCCATCCTCGACATCCAGGAACCGCGATACGACCTGCCGGACGGCGTCCGTTTCTACCGCTGCGACATCATCAACTCCGAAGCCATCGCGGCCGCCGCTGCCCAGATCCGGACGGACCTGGGCGCGGACCCGACGGTGCTGATCAACAATGCGGGCATCCTCATCGCTCGCCCAATGCTCGAGGGCACCGAGGCCGAGACCCGGCTGACCTTTGAGGTCAACACGCTGTCGCACTACCGGCTGGCGCGCGAGTTTCTGCCCGCGATGGTCTCGCGCAACCACGGCATGGTGGTGACGGTCGCCTCGCTGGCGGGCCTGGTGACGGTCTCCAATATGGTCGACTACGCCGCAAGCAAAGCGGCCGCCGTCGCCTTCCACGAGGGGCTCGCCACAGAGCTGGTGACGCGGTACGGGGCGCCGCGCGTGCGGACGGTGCTTGTTACTCAGACGTTCACGCGGACGCTCCTCCTTGGCGTCATCAGCCCCGAGCACAGCTTCACCAGTCCGGTGCTGGAGCCAGAGACGGTGGCCGAGGCCATCGTCGACCAGGTCCTGACCGGTAAGAGCGGCCTTGTCAGTCTTCCGGGGACGACGGGATGGCTGTCGTGGCAGCTGCGCAGTCTGCCTTTGTGGCTCCAGAACAGAGTGAGGAATCGATTGGAACGGCAGACGCGGCCACCGGGGAAGAAGACTTCGTGAGCAAGCGTATCTGTGCTGAAATTCTTTTTTTTAATCCTGCTCGAGACTCTACAAAGAGGGCAGTGATATTATTTCAGATTTGCTTTTCACGCTGTAGCCATTAATTTATCTTGTTGTTTGTTGCTTACAGCTTGGTTATGTTATTCAGTAGCATGATTGTCTTACGATAACGACGACGTAGCTTCAGATGCACTGATATCCAGTACACACTGTAGCTACAATATTTGATATATTCAATATTGTTCGACAATGCCATTGTATCTGTACTATCTGTATGTACTGTACAATGCAGTTCTGCCTCAGGCAGTGTCCCGCCGGCACGTGGTCTCCCAGCCTCCCGCTGGCGAGTTTAACTTAACGACTTCAGCCAGCCTCTTCTTCCACCTCGCTTCTTCTTCTTCTTTCTCTCTCCTCAGCCTGTGCATTCCTCGCGTAACGACCGTGACGACTCTGACGACTTTTCTTTTTCTTTTTTTCTTCTTTTCTTTTTCTTTATGTGATACCTGTATCATATCATATTTCCATTCTTCCTTACGACTTATCTTACGACTCTCACCGCTCTTACTACTATTACTACTGTTGCTAGGTTCCGACCCACCGGCCGCCTCTTAGCCGCCTCGGCAGCAACCAGCTTCAACCACGGTTCAGCTTGTTTACTCCCAGGTAAATAACAACAAACAACAACAAGGCGATAAACTAGCCGCTTGCGACCAGCGCTGCCAACTGGCTGTTGCATGCATCATCATCATTCACCATCATCACACCGACTGCTGACATCTTGCAGATCGCACCAACAGAGTGAATCTATCTATCTATCTGTCTGTCGGTCGGGCCCAGGCGGGTTGCTGGGTCTGCGCAATCGCCCACCGCATTCCGCCGCTTCAGCCTTGTGGCCCTTGTCGCCCCTAATCATTATTACTTACATACAGACATTCCTTCTCCCCGCACATACTGCAGTCCAGATCTCATGATTTGCATCATTGTCCCATAAAGTGCCCCTCCCAATTCACCGTCCCGCCATGCTCAGGGCTCTGCTGGGAGGTGGCGGTCGGGACGACTCCAGTTCCCGCTCGTCTCGTCGCAGAGCCGCTGACGACTACGATGGCCGTTCTACCACGACCACCTCTTCTTCCCACCGCCGTCATCGCGCTGACTCCAAGCGTTCTTCTGCCTCCACTGGTTCCTCGAGCCGCAAGTCCACACGGGGTGACGACCGTAATCGCGGCTTGGGCGATCTGACTTCCGGCCGGAGGGCTCCTCCCAGCATCGCGGGCGAGTCGACGGCCTCGACCTACGCCTCGACCTATGCCTCGACCTATGTCACCGCCGAGCCCGGATCTTACGATGGCTCAGACACGATCATCGTCGAACGCGAACCGCTGTATGTGGAGGAGGATGATCGAAGTAGGACATCAGAGCGGAGTCGCAATCGGGAGCGGCGGCGCGATCGCTCCGAGAGCAGAGATCGCGACTCGATAAAGGAGCGCGGGGATGCGAAGGATCGCTCCTCCAAGGAGAAGGATAAAGATAGTGACGATCGACAAGGCAGTCGCAGAGAGCGCGCACGCACTCGGTCCGGAGACGACCTCGGCGAGGTGTCGAGAGCACCTCCAACCTCGACTGCTACCGCAGCAGGACATTTTGCGGCTGAGATCGCATCCCCGGGATTTAATCAATTCCCCATGCAGTATGATACCACTACGTCGGGGCCACTCCCTGCGCCATACCCTCAATTCGATCCTCATGTCCAGCATCAATTTCCCAGCCAATTTCAGCCCTACCGTCCGCCCAACCCAGCGGGCGAAGCCGCCGACTATTACGGCGATCAGGGCCAATCTGTAGTTACGCAGCCAGGTGTCCGTCCGCGTCCACCAAATATCATCGTGGGCACTCAGCCGCATCTGCAGACTCCGTCAACTGTCCCCAATCCGCCCCCGGAACCGAGCAGTATGGGACAGGTCGGCGCAGCAGCGGAGTATTACGGGACCAGCGCCTCTACCAGTACCAGCACCTCCACCGGCGCCTCGGATGTGCCGCCATCCACGTCTACGCCTCCTACATCTACGCCCTCCAAACCGTCTAAGCCAGGGAAGCCATCGAAGCCGTTGAAGCCTTCGAAGCCGTCCTCTGGGGACTCTACCGCTGCCGCCGCTGCTGGTGGAACTGTGACCTACGGTATCGGGTTGGAGAGCCTCAACCAGACGAGCTCGAGCCATCCAGTCATGTCGGGAGGCCTGTCCGTTCCGTCGAATTCCCAAACAGCGGGACCCGTCCTCCAGCAGAACGGCGCTTCGTCGTCGAACGGGATAGGTGCGGCATTGGGCGCAGCTGCCGTGGGTGCCGCGGCAGGTTATATGATGAGCAACCATCATCACCAGCAATCCTCCTCCTCCAGCCACGAATACACGGGTCACCATCACAGCTACAGTAACAGTAATGATTCCTACGGCATCGGACTCCCTTCCCAATCTGGCAACTATAATTCTAATGGTAATGCGGGTCTGTATGCGGCGGGCGCCGCTGCACAGAGCATGCAGCCCTCTCCAGGTGCCCCTCCACCTAATACTTATTCCTCTGGTGGGCCCGGCCCGTTCCAGTCTGGATCGCTGGCCTTCCAGCAGCAACAACATGGGCCCTTGCGCAAATTCATTGACTTCTGGAGGGACCCCGAAGGTGTAGGCAAGTTCGAAGAGTATACGGAGGCCATTGGCGTCTGCAAATACTGTTTCGAGCCCGGAACCACGTCCCGAGACGCGCCCCGAAAGCACCACTACAATCGCCGGCGGCGATCCTCCCCCATCGTCGACCGCTACGGTGGCAGCAGCAGCCGCGTGGACAAGTGGAGTCGTTACAGTTCCTCCGATGACGAGAGCCGGCGGAAGAAGTCGAGGAGCTCATGGATTGGAGGAGCTTTGGCCGGAGGACTGGCGGGCTATTTGGCCAAGTCGCTCTTCGGCAGCAACAAGGACTCTGATGACACGTACACCGTGCAATCGGGACGCCGCCTCGAATCCAGAGCGTCGGACGTCAGCTCGGCGTCGTCGGGCAAGGCTAGCTCCATCTCTCACGGTGTCGCTACACGCTCTCGACGCAGCAGTGAGAGAAGGTCAGTCAGTGAGGGCAAGTTGTCAGTAATCCGGGAAGAGATCAAGTCTTCCTCCTACAAGACCTCCCGTCGATCGTCGCGCTCACGATCCAGATCGCCGTCCGGGCACAGTCGTCGGTCTTCTGGTTTCAAGGAAGCAGCGCTGGCTGCTGCCATCGGGTCAGCGTCGGCCGCGTCATTGGTGTCCTCTCGCCGTCGGAAATCGCAATCGCCGGAGCGACTTCACGTCAAAGGACGGCGCAAATCCGGGCTCAGCGGATTCAAAGAGTTCTTTACTGCACCATCGGCCAACAACCGGAAGAAGCGTCGTGTCAAAAAGCGAGTTGGGGGACAGATTTATTCCTCGAGCTCGTCATCCTCGTTTGACGCCGATCTGGCGTTTGGCTCCGAGATCTCTCGTCCAAGCGTGAGCAGCAGATCGAGCAAGTCCAGCAAGTCCAACAAGTCTGGCAAAAAGCGATCCAGTCGGGACGTGGACGCAGAAATCTTGGAACTCGAAATTGAAGCACGAGAGCTCGCTCACGCTTCCTCCAGAAAGAAACTTTCTTCCCGGCATCTCAGCTCTCGTCGAGTGGAATCTTCTACTATCGTCACGGGTGCCGACGACGATGATGAGTGGGAGGATGCTGATTCGGAAGACTCCGTGTCATCGGCGTTGGCATACGGTGACAGTGCGCTTTTTGGCAGCCCGTCGTCCGACTCCTCATCCTCAGGCCTGTCATTCTGGCCCTGGAGATCGCGCAGCAAGAAGGAGAAGAAGAAGAAAAAGAGGGAGGAGCAGCGGCAGGTTTCCCCCGGCGTCTCAGAGGAATACGTCGCTGCCGCTGGCTCGGCATATGCATCTAGTAGCATGAATAGTCTTCAACAGGTCTATCCTGTGTCCACGTCCGACCCTTCTCGATTTGATGCGTCTCCCAATGGGCAACCACCTGTTGTCCGCCCTGGACCGATCACCATCCAGCAACCGCAGCCTGTCACCCCAGTCTCTCAATCGGTCTACTACCAGACGTCCCCAGGAGCTACCGGTTTCACCGATTCACCCACCTCTCAATATGCTTCTCAGTGGGATGAAAAGGCTACTCGAGATATCCCTCACCGTCGGAGCAACTCATCGCCTGTTCTCCCGGCCTCTCCTCTCGACGTGGTCCCATCTTCTATCTTGAAGCGTTCGTCCACGACGAAGGATTCAACCGTTCAATTCGATTTGACCGAAGAGCAAGAGGACAAGGAAAGGCGAACCGATCGTCGTGAGAAGAAGCGACAAGAGAGTAGGCGGGAGGAAGCCCTCCGACTGCTCGAGGAGGAAGAAGAGGCTCGGCGTCGTGAAAGGAAAGAAAGAAAACGGGAAGAGGAGCGGCGCCTGCGTGAAGAGGCCGAAGCAGAACAGGCGGCGCGGGACGCACGCCGCGAGAGACGCCGTCGAGAGAAGGAAGACTATGCATATGAAAAGAATAAGGAAAGAGACGATCGTTCTTCCTCCTCCTGGGTCGGCCCAGCTGCTGCAGTTGGCGCGGTCGAGGCTGCTGCTGCCGCGAGTGTTCTAGTCGACAAAGCCTTCGAAGAGGGTCAATCGCAGTCTGGCAAGAGTCGACATGAGGAGCGTCGAGACAAGCGCCGCTCAGAGCGACGTCGTGCTTCCGAGCGAGACGACAACGCTGTCGAACTAACTCGCAATGATGTCCCGCAAGCGGTTAATGAAGACCAGCAAAAGGAGAGGCCAGTCGCAAAAATTGCAGCGTCCCGCATTATCGGAAATGTGAGTCCTGTTTACGATAGCTATAAGGAGTTTTTTACTCCAGAGGAGCTCCGACATAGAGCCGATAACCACTCGACCCGCTCTGATTCGGCGAAGCGGTCCCCTAATATCGTCGAAGCTGTGCCCGCTAGTGAGAGGTTCAGGCGAGAGATGGAGTTGTGTGGTGAAAAAGATGCCTCTGAAAATCATACTAGGCGGCCTGATCTCCCTTGGCCCGTCCCGCGACTGAATGTTATCGAACCGACTCCCCCTCAGAGTCAGGATGGCTCCGTCCGAGATGTCCACTCTCCTCCTGTTCCTCCTCCGGAACCAACGAGAGGCGGAAAAACCGAAGAACACGAGGAAGCTCAATCGAGCAGACGGTCGACGACAGGAACACGTGTGTCGTGGGGGGAACACCAGACTCACGAATATGAGGTTCCCACTCCGTCATCCGATAAAGAGGATTCTGTGAGAGAGGCTGTGTCCGAATCCTCGCACCGTGAATCTATCCTCACAGCTATCAGAGAAAAGATAGGCGATGATAGTAAGACCACAGGCAGCTTTGGCAATGATCCTGAATTCGCGGCTACTTTGGCTGCGACTGCCGCCATTGCTGGTTTTGACCCTTCCGTCGTGACCGACGATTCGAAGTACTACCGAAGGGATTCTCCTCCAGGGTCTGAGCTTCCAGGCACTTACCGCGCTCCTGAGGTTCAAAGCGTGCAGGATTCGGACTTGAGGCCCAACACACAGCCTCCAGAGCCTTCGGAGCCTCGTCATTTCATCGAAGGCCAGGAATTCTCCGCGGAGCCGGAGATGATGGAGTCGACGTCACCGGGAGACACGGATGATGCTGTATTCCACGAAGCTCCATCATCTATTGCCCGCGAAGTGATTGAGCATCTGAATGCGAAGAAGGAGTCTGACGGAGAAGAACGGTCCAGACGTATTGCCGAAGTTTATGTGCGCTCTGGCGACGACGTTGGCTCCGTCGCTGCTTCGGCGCCCGAGTTCGACGAGCTGCAGAAGACCAAGAAATCCAAGTATGAGTCTGAGACAAGTAGATCTGTGGCATCTGCTCCCATAGGTGATGATGGAGAAAAGCACAAGAAGTCCAAGAAATCTCGACGCAGTGGCGATGATAACGTGCCCGCTTTGGACGACTCCGATGAGAAGCGAGAGCGAGACAAGAAGTCGAAGAGGGACAGTGGTGCTTCTGAATCCTACGATGATGCAAAGTCAGTTGCAGCATCCGGTCCCGGTGCAGATGAGCTCGATGACAACGCGCAATCTGAGTCGAAGCGTAGGTCCAAGAGCGGACGCGATATCTTGGACGATGACAGTCGTTCAGCTCCTGGTGGGGATGACGACTATGAACATCGTAGACGCCGTCGCCGGTCGAAGCGTGAGAGCGGCGAGTTTGACGAGACCGCCTCCGCCGCTTCATCACCGGCCAAGATCGAGGATTCCCGAGAGAAACGTCGAAGTCGCGACGCCTCCACCTCTAAGGACAAAGATAAGGACCAGGAGAAGAAGAGCGTCGGGTTCCTCAGCAATCTTTTCGGCTCGCGAAGCACGGTGGAGTCTACCTCGTCCTCTTCTGACAAAGGCGATTCTCGCGACACGCGATCAGAGGCTGGAGCGGACGAGCACGAATCTAGACGTAGGCGAAAGAAGAGGTCGTTAGGGCATCGCAGTTCCAGCGGTGATGGCAGCAGCGGTGCCTTGGCCCTCTCCAGCGACGCAGCGCAGTCCATGATAGATAGCTCACAGCTGGACAAACCCGATCAACAAGAGCGAGATCCAGAAAGGGCTGATGACGGCGAAGGTAAGGATGAGAACTACAAGTCTCACGGGCAGCGTAGGGAGGAAAGAAGACGGCATAGATACGAGGAGATTGTGGAATCGGGTCGAAGCACGTCTGAAAAGGTAGATCTTTAGCACTTTCCCCTTCTTTCGATGTTTGACCAGTTTATCATTCACCTTTCTTTGAATATGGCTGGTTTATGATTCCACAGCTTGCTTCTCCCCACATATCTTGTTAAAGAATGTAAAGTTGCTGAGTTTTTCTTTTTGCTCCATTTACAGGAACAAGAGCCCGTCGCCGATGATGACCGTGAGAATCAATATGATGACAAGACGCAGTCTTTTTTAGAGGAGCGCCCCGAAATGCTACCAACGACCACTAGTGCTGAAGACCTTAATAAAGGTGGTAATGTTGATAATGGTGGTGCTTCGGGGCTCCTTACTTCTTCTGCAGTGGCTGCAGCAACGGGACTGGGCGTTATTCTCCCTGACCAACAGCGAGAACAGGACCAACTGCAGCAACAATCTCGACGATCTAGAAGCCAGTCGGTTTCACCTGTGCCAGGCGCGAAAGAGGTTAATCTACCTCCCAAAGCTCAAAGTAGACCGCCTTCTCCTGGTCCCAGTCAGGATCCAGGACTGCGGTCCGGACGTTTTTCGATGCGGCGAATGTCGGACTCGCCCACAGCGATTCCATTGAACTTCCGCAAACCGCCTTCCTCTCCCAACTTCCAGCGTCGTCAGTCAATGACTTCTCCTGTTCCGTCGCCTAGCTCCCCCAGGACCGGTCGCCGTCGGCCCAGCTCGGTCGAGTTCAAGAATGCGCGGGAGTATCGGCCCCTGTGGCTTGTGGAACGGCACAGTTCAGGTAAATTCGACGTGGAGCCAGAAGGTCCGCTACCATCCCTACCTTCAAGTAAGACGACATCACGGAGTTCGTCAGTCGAGGATCTTCGTGAGGTAGGCGAAGATGTGTTTCATTCACCATCTTGGCAGTACTCAGACAGAGGCTGGGGACGTGCGTCTGTTGGACTGCGGATCTCTACTGACCGCGCCCCTACGGACGATGCTGATATTTTGGACTCGCAGCAGCCGACCCCAACCCAGAACACATACCGGCAGATCGGTCCTCCTCCGACCAAGAGAGAAAACCTCAAGTACGAGTTCCATTCACCTTCGGAGCTCCTGCAAGATCCGAGCACTTTAAATCCGGAAATCCGAGGTGTACCGTCGACTCTCGAGACCTTGCCTTCCGTTGAAAGCTCGGTGGTGGGTGAGAAAGATGTCAACATCCAGCGAGAGGAGGAGAAGGGTGAAGCTAGATCTTCAACGCCTCCTTCTGACGGACACGAGGAAGAACGCAAACAACCGTCAAATGCAGCCGCATCCTTTTTGACAGGTGCCGGCTTTGCCTCTGTCGTGGACGCGGCTGTCGCTGCCGCTGTCGATCACCGCCTCGAAGTTGAAAAGAAAGATGAGACCAAAACAGATGAAGTGACCATGCTTCCAGAGCAAACAGAGACCAAATCAATGCCCATAGCCGAAGAGAGCCGGGACGATGTGCCAGCCTTCGAACAGAATAAGGAGTTACAACATGAAGCCGTCCCATCCCTAGAACGACCTTCTGAAGAGCGCGGCATGTCCCCCTTCGCGCAAGCGGGCGCAGCACGGTTTGCTGCCATCGTAGATGCTGCGGTTGCAGCAGCTGTTGAGCAGGCGGAGGTAGACCACAAGCAAAGTCTTGACCTTGATAACGATGAAAACAAAGACCTGCCAGGAGACGTCCAGGAACCCTCTTACGGTAGGGACGATATTGAGGCAGGTGAACGCACGGCACAAGAGCAGCCTAGGGAGCTAGAGCAGCAGCAGCTTCCTCCGTCCACCGACCAACATGAAGAGCACTTCGTGGATGTCGTTGAAGAAGCAGTCAACGCGGCCGAGAATGCAGAAACGCGTGAGCCAGTGTCTCTCCAAGAGGAAACTATTGAAGAGGTCACTCCTGGACCTGAACATCTGACCGTGCAACCAGCGGAAGAGGCAACGGTTGATGATTTTGCGCCAGCTAATTCTGCTTCCAAGAAGAAGAAAAAGAAGGACAAGAAGGCTGCAAAGAAGACGCCCAGTCTGGACCTTGACGCTGGTGCTGCGGAAGACAATGAGCAGACTGCAGCTCCTCCTCCTGAGACTGTTGCAACAGAGGCTCCCTCGGTGGAAACTGGCGACGGCGAGCTTCCCCCAAAGGCCGAGTCGGAACGGGCCGAACCTTCTCTCCAATCTGCTGAGCAAGAAGATAAAGAGATTGCAATAACTGCAGCCCCCGTCATTGCCACTGTTGAAGAACAGGCACCTGTTCTGATTTCCTCCAGCGACGAGAAACCTCCTGAGATTTCTCCAGAGCAATTGTCCGCTGTTGAAAACGCAAACGAGGGAAACGCTCGTGTTGATGTTTACACCGGGGTGGATGGCCAAGCTGTGGAGGCAACCGACGCGGAAGCGGTCAGAGCCATGGAATCCACCCTGGCGGAAACGGACATGCGGTCAAGCCCTACGGTGGAGCAACCCGAGACCAATGACGGTACACCACATATGCCAGCGGAGCCTGAGGAAGAAACCTGGTCGACCACAACAACACAAAACAGGAAGAAAAAGGGCAAGAAAAAGAGACAGAGCCTGGTTTCTACGACGGTCGCCAATGAGGGGCCAGAGAAATCCGAAGAATCCACTGTGGAACAATTACAGCAGCCGACCGCCGATGAGGCAAAAGCCGCCGAATCCCAAACAGGTGAAAATGATTCACCTGTGGACTCCCCAAACAAGGAAAGCCCTGAAACAACAGAGGAGAAGAAGGAAGGCGAGGACTTCACCATGACTCCCGCACAGAAGAAAAAGGCCAAGAAGGACAAGAAGAAACGCCAGTCACTGACAGGGAATGAAGAACCTGCTTCGGAGCCAGCTCAAGCACCTGTCGAAGCAGATGTTCAACCATCCGATGAGACTGTCGTAGAGGCTGCTACTGTTCAAGACGGGGTTCCTATTCAGGGAGAGCAACTTGCACCAGATACGCAAGAACAACTAGCGGTGTCCGAGCCTCACCCTATTGAGGAAACGCCCAAGGAAGAAGTGGAGGAGTTCTCGTCAGCCAAGTCTAAGAAGAAGGCAAAGAAAGACAAGAAGAAACGCCAATCCCTAGGATTGGCCGAGGAGCCAGAACTACCAAAACAGGAGCCTACTGAGAGCACTGCACGGCCAACTGATGAGGCTGCTGGTGTTGAAGAAGCCAATGTTGGTCAAGATGTGCCCGTTCAAGAAGAGCAATTGAGACCAGACACACATGATCCCTCGACAGAGTCTGCGCCCCCGCCCCCTGAGGAGACAACCAAGGAAGTAGTAGAGGAATTCCAGGAGGATTTCCAGTCATCCCCCGAGCCTCAACAACAGGAGCCTGCTGAGAGCATTGTGCAGCCAAATGATGAAGGTGCTGGTATCGAGGAAGCTAAGGCTGGTCAGGATGAGGTGCCTCTTCAGGGAGAACAACCTGTATCAACTACACAAGAACAACCAGTCGTGCATGAGTCTCAGCCGACCGAAGAGACGACCACAAAGGAAGTAGTGGAGGAATTCCAGTCTGCTAAGTCCAAAAAGAAGGCAAAGAAAGAGAAGAAGAAACGCCAATCTTTGTCTTTGGATGAGGAACCCACTGCTGAAGCGACTCAAGAATCCCCTGGATCTATTGCACCAGCGTCCGATGCGACACCTGCTGTGGCGGAGGAAATTCCTCCTCCTCAAGGTGAAGTGGCTGACAAAGAGGAAACAACGGCTCCAAATGTTCACGAACAACCTGCCATACTTGAGCCTCAGCCCTTCGGAGATTCTCCTAAGGAAGAGGTTGAGTCAGCAGATTCTAAGAAGGCCGAAGAAGACAAGGAGACGGGCCAGTCTTTGCCGTTAGTCGAAGAGGTTCCTGCTGAACCGGTACAGAAATCAAACGAAGCCTCTGCAGTTGAGAATCCTTTGCAGACTCCATCCGTGGTGGCAGATACTACTCCTTCGCACGCCAATGAACAAAGCTCTCAAGGGGAAGCAGTCGTCTCAGTGGAACCTAACACTAATGAGCCTGAGCGAAATGAAGAGCCTCAACAGGACGAATTCGAGGAATTTCAATCTTCGAAGTCAAAGAAGAAGGCCAGAAAAGACAGAAAGAAGCGACAATCCCTACAGGGGGGCGAGGAGGTTCCTGATGAAACAAAACAACAAACGGCTGAGGCTTCTGCAATCGAGACTCAGACTCCTCAAGAGGCTCCACCTGCTGCGGAAGTTGCTGTTAGTCCATCTCAGGATGAACAAGGTTCCCGAGAAGAGTCCGCTGCGCCAGAAGTGGAAAATAAAGAGATTGATGTAGCTGTCCCAACAGAAGCCTCCGTTCCTCCGCCTGAACAGACCGAAGAACCTCCAAAGAATGAGCCTGAAGAGTTTCAGTCTGCTAAGTCAAAGAAGAAGGCGAAGAAGGAGAAGAAGAAGAAGCAGCAATCCCTTGCTTTGGATGAAGAACCAACTCCTGAAACGACAGAGGATGTCGCCACGTCTTCTGCGATTGACAGCACTCCGCAGGCTGAAGCTGTCTCCGTCAGCCAGGAAGATGCAAACGGTGAACCAGGCACTCAACAGCATCAATTCGAGTCTGAGGCTGTAAAGGTCGAAGAAAATGAACAACAGCCTACAGAAGAGCAGACATCTGCAGCTGAAATTCCACCCACTGAAGAGCCACTCGCAAAGGACGAAGTGACGGTGGAAGAGTCCCAGACAGCGAAGTCTAAAAAGAAAGCAAAGAAGGACAAGAAGAAGCGACAATCGCTGGTCAGGGATGAAGAGCCAACCGCAGAGTCTGCAAAAGACCATGGTGAAGGAGCTGTTGAAACTGCTGCGGTTCCTACCAGCGCGGAAGAGGTTCCTGCGCCTCAGGATCTCGATGTGGCTGGATCTGTTCCTCGAGAAGAATCAACGGCAACTGATAGCTTGCAGACAGAGGACATGCCCGACAAGGATAACCTAGAGTTACAGGCGCCTGAGACTGGTCCTCAACAGGATCAAGCTGAGGAGCCTACTGAGCCTGCCGCCGATACCGTCGATCAAACTTCAGCTGTGGAGCCTTCTCAGGCGCCTCTCGAGGAAATTAAACAAACAGAACCTCGTTCTCAAGAACCTGCTGCTGAAACACCGACAGCAGAGAAACCTGCAGAAGAAGATGCTGGAGCTTTTCAGTTCCAGTCCGCAAAGTCCAAGAAGAAGGCCAAGAAGGAGAAGAAAAAGCGGCAATCACTGCAGGGAGATGAGGCACCTACTCAGGTAGAAGGAACGGCTGCTCCTGCCATTGAACAAACCAAGGAGCCTACAATTACGACTGAGAATCCAGAAACCCCCGAGACGGGGGTGACTGCGGATGAGTCTGGGCCTCAAACAATCGAAGGAGTCGGTGACCATGAATCAACAGCAGAAGCGGAGTCCACGCCCGCTGTCGAACCTTCGGAAAATGGGATCTCAACAATAACGTCTGAGCCGGAGGTTATAACTCCCGCGGAAAATGAAGGTCAACAGGGAACTCCTGCAGAACCAGAGGAGGGGTTCTTATCAGCAAAGGCTAAGAGAAAATTGAAAAAGAATAAACGGCAGAGTTTGGACGGCATTGAAGAGGAACCCGCTGCCACCGTTGAGGCCGTGCAAGAGGCTCAAGGTGAGAAAGAAAAAGAAGCAGGCACAGAAAGTATTCAACCGCAAGAGCAGGATATTGGACCGCTACCCGAGAAATCCACTACCGACGACAGTCAAGGTTTCATGTCGGCCAAGGAAAAGAGAAAGGCCAAGAAAGATAAGAAGCGCCGGTCGTTAGCCTGGGTGGACGAAGTCTCAGAAGCTCCTCCAGAAGAAGGGGCGAAGGCAACAGTTACCGAACAGACAGAGAGTCCAGCAACCGTTGATCCCGCCCAAGACATCGTTACGCAAGCAACATCCTCCGAGAAAGACGTTCTTCACGAACCCGAGCCACATGAGCCGGAGACCGCACCGCAGGAGACACCTGCTGAAGCCGACGGTAAAGAAACTTTTCAGCCTTCCGACAAGATTGAGACCGACAAGAGGGGAAAGGACACCGATTGGACTGATGACATGGCTTCGCAGGTAGAACCCAAGGAAGAAGAATCTCCTTACCCGGTGCCTTCCCCGACATTAGCTGAACCCCCTGAACCTAAACCCGAAATTTCTTCCGTCCCAACCTCTTCCGTAGCAGATCAAGAAGCCCGCGAGACTACGACGTCGGATGTTGTGATAGAAAGCCAATCCCTTGCTGCAGATGAGAGCGCGGAAGTTGTGAAGGATGAATCTCCCACGGAGGGTGTTACTGCTGCTGCTCCAAGTCCACTGGTGCAAGCAGACGAAGGCGATCCATGGACGAGTTCCAGCAAGAAGAAGGGGAAAAAGGAGAAGAAGAAGAAGAAGCGCAAAACAGCTTCCTCTGTAGGTGGGATTCAAATCCCGGAGGAGCAGACTGCGCCGTCAGCTGCCACCGAAGAAACCAAAGAGCCTGTCGTGGTTGATGTGGCAGAAGAAACCCAACCTGCCTCCGAGCAAAGCAAGACTGTTATACCTGAAGAGAAGGCTGCTCTTGGAACCGAGAAACCGGCTGTCGCGGATGGTGAAGATCAAAATGAAAAGGGCCAGACAACGTTGCTGGAGGAGAGAGAGACCCCAACGCAGCCGGAGTCCATATCCATCGAAGCGTCTGCTGGGCTCAAGGAAATCCCATCAACTAGTGGCACTGGCGAAGCAGTGGCGACCACCGAAGCTCCTCTCAACGAACCAGTTGTCAGTGCTGAAGATACGGCTATCAATGGACAAGAAGTTGGTGTTACTGCACCTGCAGAGTCAGCCCAAGACACTGATGTCGAGCCTGTTGTTGAAGAGGAAGGCTTTGCATCGACTCCCAGCGGGAAGAAGAATAAGAAAAAGAAGAAGCGGCAGTCGCTTGGACGGATCACCGAGAACGATGAAGTCCCGCAAGTGGAGGAGGCTCAAGAAACCAAGCTTGCTCCTAGCGAAGTAATGGAAGAGAATGTGGATTCAGGCCGATCAGTAGATCAGCCAGTCATGGCAGATGTTTCTGAACCTGTCCCATCAATACGCCTTGATTCTACGGAGCCTGCTGCAAAATCGAGTCTCCTTTCATCTCAGCCGTCGGAGCATGAACTGTCTGCCCCTACGGAGACTACCGCAGGAATATCTGAAGCTGCCTCGGAGTCGATCTCGACCTCTGGCAAGCCGCAGGAAGACTTATCCAAAGAGCTGTCGGGAGAGGGAGCAGAGCAAGTTGAAGACTTCTTGGCAGTTCCTGGGAAGAAGGGGAGGAAGGAGAAGAAAAAGAAAGGCAAGAAAGATGCTCAGGTGGCTCAGGCGGAAGAGGGGTCCGACGGCCGTGGCTTCCCTGTCGATGAGCCCATGCCAGTCACCGCTGATGAGACAACTCCTGGTGGTGTCGATGAGCTACCGGCAGCGCAAGCAGCTGACACAGAGCCCGCAGCAGCCACTGTCTCGCTTGATCCGTTTGATGTGCCTGAGTCTGCTGAAGAACAACCAAACGAGTTTTCAACGGCATCCGCAGATGTAGACATGGATAACGCAGATGCGGTGCTGGCTGAGGAACCTGTTTCTCTTCAGACGCAACGGGAGTCGGAAGAAAGATTACGTCGACGAGCTCTAGAGAAAGAAGATGACCTTGCCGTTGCGGAGGATCTGTTTGGTGAGCGGACGAAAGAGGTGGTGTCGGAGAAGCCAGTCTCGAGAAAATCATCTAAGAAGGAGAAGAAAGCAAAACAGAAGACTCCCGTTGTAGAGCAGACGTCGCAGCCTGAACCCGAGGTCATCTCCAAAACTACAGAGCCAACGGAGATCCAGGCTGCCCAGGAACCATCAGAGGCTGTGTCGCAAGAGTCAGCTGCCAAAACACAGTCCCAGAATGATGGGATGCTCCTGACGCGCAGTTCATCCAAGAAGAAGAAGGGGAAGAAGAAGCGGATGGACTCGCAGGTCTCGGAGCGTGGTGAAGCGCCTGTCGAAGTTCATGTAGAAGGGACTGCCGCGCCAGCCGAGGAGAATGCTCCTGTACCAGAGGAACACAAACCCACCAAGGATGAACCTTCTCTGGAACGTGAGGCAAAAACCGACATCAAAGAGTTTGAGGAGACTACAGCAGCTCCTGTCGAACCAGCTTCACAACCCGAAGAGCTCTCGGCGGAAACAATCTGGTTGGCGCCGATAAGCAAGGCGGATAAGAAAAAGAACAAGAAGCGGGCAAAGAAAGAGGAAAAGAAACAGAAAGAAGAAGCGGAGGTTGTTGCTGTACCCGAGGAAGAGCAACAATCAGCCTCTATTGCAGAGCCGGAATCGACAGTGCCTAAACTGGACGAGGCCATTACGGAAGAGAAGACAATATTACCAGGTCCTCAGCCTCCAAATGAGCAACTTCAGTCTGAGGAGACATGGTCCGATCCTACAAAGAAGGACACACAGGAGGAACAATCTCTTGAAATGGGTGCCGCAGATGGCCTACTTGACTCTGCTGCATTGGCAGAGGCTACCGCGGAGTGCTCTACGCCAGAAAGAGAAGGGGCCGAACAGGAGCCACAGCCCGAAGATTCGAGCAAGGAGACGGACCAGACAAGCAAGAGTGTCAAAGACGATCTATCCACTTCGTACGAGCAGGACAAGACCCAACATTCAGAACCGGAACAGTCTTCCCGTCGAGATCCGTCTCCGTCTCCAATGCCAGCCCAGCAGCCATCGACGAGCCGAATTGCCAGCATCTTTCCTCACCTGGAGCGGGTCACCTTCCGTCGGCCATCTCCCAAGACGATACCATCAGAAATCGAAAAGGAATCACCCGCGCAGGAATTAGTCTCTACCTCTCAGCAAACCACCGATAGTGGTGGTATCGGCATTTCCGTCGAAATTGACCCATCCTACAACGTCTCGGCGCTGTCTGACGGCGGCAACGGGGCACAGGAGCGAGCCGTCGAGATTCACTGGCAGGCTGAGAGTGAAGAACCGACCAAAGACAAAGAGCCTACACCGCCCTTGACTGACAAAGTACCTGAACGTGATTCTGTTCCATCCCCTGTTGAGGCGACACCCAAGGATCGCTCTTCGTCGATCCTCTTTAATTCCACTCCTTCCACTCGTACCGATCTTACTCTAGACAGTCATCGTCGCAGTACTACACCTCCAACTCGCTTTGCACCGCCCTCTAGTGGTGGCCTGCATCGCACCGCCTCTATACACGGTCGTCACACCGGCCCTAAGCATAGCTGGACGCTGGACGACGACACGCCCTCGAAGCGCCTGCCGGGTTCTCCCCCGCGACCGCTGCCAGGCGACCACGCAGATCTCACGCCACCACGGACCCCTCTGGAACCGATCCACGAGGACGACGGGGCCTTGAGAACACCCTCTCCACGACTGTCGCTGGGCCACGAGTCTGTCACTCTTCCTCGCCCCGGCAGCCGTAACAGCGTGGGCAGCGCGCGGTCGCTCCGACGGGTAAACCGCAGCCTCAGCAGCGATCTGCGAGCGGCAGCAGCCTGCCGCGCGGCGCAAGACGAGCAAAAAAAGAAAAGCACCGCCAGCGACAGCAATCTAGATCCGGGGCTGGACGAGGGCGCTGATAAGGCCGGCGATAAGGCTCAGCCAGCCCAGGTGGAGCGCGAGCCCCAGGCGGGATGGGCGGCTGACTCAGCAACCGACGGCTCCCACGCCCAGCCACCCGCCCAGCAACAAACACCCGACGACCGCCTGCTCGAGCAGCTGCCCTCGTCGTCCTCCTACGACCCCATCACCGACAAGGGCAAGCGCCCCCTGCGCGGCATGACCGATGTCTATGTATGTTCCTGATCCCTATTTTGTTTTATTTTTATTTTATTTATTTTAAAAGATTGAATGCTAACTTGTGCACTATAGGAGGGATGGGGTGAGACCCCGCACTCTCCGCGGTCGCCCACGCGGCCGCCTAGTGTCCGTCGTCGCCAGAGCATGCAGCATCTCCAAGAACTCGAAGCGCGCCTCGACCAGTTAATCTCGGAGAATCGTTTGTTGCTTGCAGCCAAGGAAGAGGCTGAGCAGAAGTTGGCCCGCGTGGGTGCTGCACGCCGCAAGAGTGAGGAGGCGCTGAACCGGAGCGACGCCGACCTCCGCGACAAGGAAGCAGAGATTTCGCGGTTGAAAAGCTCGCTGGAATGGATGCAGGGCGAGGTACAAAGGCTAACTCAGGAGAACGAGGCTCTGACGGCAACGAACGCGGGCTTGACCGCATCCCATGCCCGTGAAGTCGAGGACCTGCGATCACAGCACGCCCAGTTGGCTGCTGGCATGGAAGATATCGTGCGCGAAAAAGTCTCTTCCGCGCTGGCAGACAAGGATGCGGAATTGCGCCGGCTCCGCGACGAGTTGGCAGCCGCGCGCCAGACAGTACAAGAGCTTCAGCAACAGATCATGGCTGCCACCGCGGATGAGGTGCTGCAAGTGCGTGACGAGGACTATTTCGAAAGCGCCTGCAAGCGCCTGTGCCAGCACGTCCAGCATTGGGTGTTGCGCTTTTCGAAACATTCCGACCTCCGACGTTGCCGGCCCCTGGCTGAGGTCCGGGACCAGTCCGTCGCCGACCGGTTTGACAATGCCATGCTAGACGGGTCCGACGTTGATGCCATCCTGGCTGACCGTGTACGCCGGCGCGATGTGTTCATGGCGGTGGTGATGGCAATGATATGGGAGTATATCTTTACGAGGTACCTGTTCGGTATGGATCGCGAGCAGCGCCAGAAGCTCAAGGCCCTCGAGAAACAACTGGCGGAGCTTGGGCCACGGCGCGCTGTCGCTCACTGGCGGGCGCTGACACTAACGCTGCTGTCAAAGCAACCATCCTTTGCACAGCAGCGTGAAAGAGATACTGAGGCTGTCGCTCTGGAAATTATGGGTACGCTGTCGCAGCTGTTGCCACCGCCCGCGACCGCAGAGACACAGCTGCTCGAGTCACTGCGCGCCGTGCTGCGACGGGCGGCAGACCTGGCAATCGAGATGCGCACGCAGCGTGCCGAGTACATGATGCTGCCGCCACTGCGGCCCGAGTACAACACGCAGGGCGAGTTGGCCCGCCAGGTGGTTTTCAATGCGTCGCTGATGAACGAACGCAGCGGCGCGACGACATCCAATGAAGCGCTCGAGGCACAAGGGGCGGTCGTCCAGCTGGTGCTGTTCCCGCTAGTCGTCAAGAAGGGCAACGATTTAGGAGAGGGCGATGAGGAGATCGTCGTCTGCCCGGCGCAAGTGCTTGTGGCACGGCCAGAGAGTGATCGGGCTTCCGAGAAAGATCGGATCTCCGTGGGCAACCGATCGGTGTCCAGTGTGATGCCGCCGACAGACATGGGCAATATGATCTAGTCTTCTTCCTCTTTTTCTTTCCCTTTCCCTTTCTCTTTCTTCTTGTGATACCCTTGTCACATCTGAGTGGATATTTCGGTTCTGCTGCTTCTGGGATATTTATCACGGTTATGGTCCTTGGGCAATGAGAGGCTAAAATGGATACATCTCTTCCATTCCGAGGCGTCACACTCGGGAGGGATTTGTGTCCAGAACAAGTCCGGTGGCGTTTGGCGTTGTTGTATCATGCACTACTCGCATGGATACGAATACCTAACTAATAATAAAAAAGAAAAAGAAAGAGTGGCTGGAATGGGCTTAGGAAGGGCGTGGTTGGGAATCGTGATGATTATGATGTGTCGAGCAATTTCTTTTTGATTTGTGTGGCTTACTGATGATGACTGATTCATGTGATGTATTTTTTTTCGGCTTTTGAGATGTGCATGTATGTATGTTGACATGACTGATGACGAGTAACGAATCTCCTATTTATTCTACAGACTTTTTATTCTACAGACCTTCCTGCCTATACTTCTGTCCGTTGTATACAGCAATCACATGATGAAAACGGTCGAGGAATGCGTCATGTGATTCTCGCACTAAAATACAATTCGGGTTAGTCCGGCGATCATGTGCATCCAACCTCTCGTCATCAGCGCTGGTCCAACTCGTCTGTACTCCGTAATCTGTGATGAAGAGCGATTCTCGAGATCGATTTCTACTGACACGCAGTTCTCTATCCATTGCTTACCTCCTGGTTATATGATCGCCAGGCGCTCTGCGGGCTACCATGGTTGCTGCCCTCAGGTGACTTCACCATCCGCATCCGCATCCACGTCCGCATCCGGCGGATCACCGGGCCACTACCTTCATCCCAAACTCACGTCTCTTTCTTTTTCCCTTGCAAATTCTGCCTGCTCCGTACATCCAGCGTATTTCATCCACCGCATTCCTTATCATCTCCTTCGTGATCCCGAGTCGCCGTCACTCGGTCACGAATCGCTCCTGTTGCACTCCCGCTCTGCCCGACGTCATCCGCCACACAGTTGCCTTCCACCGCCTTGATCATGGTGAGGGTCATCGAGGCTCTCTCTCCACCATTGATCGACCGCTGAAGAAAGTGTCGAGATAGTTGCTCCCTCATGGATACGCATTCGGGTTCGGCGGAGAATGGCGACCGCCATTCCTCGCCTCCTAAGCAGCAGCAGCAGCAACCCATGTCTCTGGGCCGTCTGCTAGAAATGCATGCCAACACACAAGGCCAGTCGGACGTCACAGCGACAACAGACCCTCCAGGCCCTACAACCTCGGCGGCGTCGGAGGACACGCTGCAGAACCAACCTGCGGGTCCTGAGGGCTCTCAATCAACGACGACGAAAAAGAAGAAGAAAAACCGTCATCGTCGGCGCCGCAATCATCGACAGTCTTTTCTCGCGCCAGATGAGGACCGTCCCGGCCAGATCATGGCAGATCGAACATCGGACCTGGCTGCCTCAGTCCAGGAGCGGCCTCGAGAGCGGTCTTCGTTCTATCGCGGACGGAATCTGAGCACCACGAGCTTGGAGAGCGAGGCGCTGTTGGATCATCGGTAAGACCGGTTTATCACGCTCTCTAGAACCAGTACTAATGCATTGTAATTGACAGAAATCAGCCGCACCAGATGCGGGCCCGGCGCGACAGCCGTCTCAACCAGTCCTTCCGTGCCGAATCTTTTAATAGAGCATCGTTCTTTGCCAATAACGCCGAGGGGCCTACTCCGCGTCGACATCGTTCCGGCCAGAGTTATCAGCATCGATCTGAAAGCGAGGATCTTGGCGAAGATGGGGAAGAGGATGAGCAAGAGATGGATGACCGCACCCCGCTGATAGCTTCCCACTACGCCTCGAGTCCCTCGCGGGTTGACTACGGCACGGACATGAGAACAGCCTCGTATGTCTCCCGGACGCCGCGGAGACCATCCGTCGACACCAGTTCCTCCCGTCGTTCCTCCCGTCGCGCCCAATCTTCCAAGCCAAGTCCTATGGGACCCCAGAGTCAAGATCGCGACTACGATGTCAATAACCCGCCCTCCGTTCCTGGGAGTCCCAAGGCCGGCGTCGCTGACATGGGATATGACGACGCTGTGGTCACCGGTGCTGAATTCCCTGGTCCTCGTTCTCCCGATACCTGTCGGGACTCCGTCCATGATGCGGTGATCGATATGGAAGGGAGCAGAAGGGCAGGCACTCATTCTGGAGACTCGGCGCCGCCATCCCCCAACATACCACCTCAGGATTCTCTCCACCGTCGCCGCACTATCACGCTGCCTGTCGAGGGAGATGTCTGTTTCCCGACGGAACTGGCGGAAGATTTTGGTCCCCGCGCCTCGCGTGACGAGACGGGAGGGCGACGCCGTCGTCGACGACAGGAATGGCCCAACTTGGCTGTCCTGGAGGAGTGGAGCCGCGAAGAGAAGGAAGAGCGCAGCGGAGAGTTCAGGGTCAAGAAAATCAGCGAGCCCGTCCTTGTTGGGGGCCGGTTACGTCCCCAGTATGCGGGCTGGCGGAGAGAAGAGGAGGAAGCCCCGTACCGGTTTACCTACTTTAACGAGGATTTCCAGAGCACCATCCACGCGCAGACCATTTCGGAGCTCGTTCAGCCGGGAGGTAGCTTCCGGGAGCTCTTCCTCCCGGATCCACCGGAGCTGGAGGATTCTTCATCGGACGAAGATGAAGACCTGATCTCGCTCAACGAGCCAGGTGGCCATCAAAACTACCGTCTCAGCAATGGTCAGGAATCGGGGGGGAGTCGAGGCCCGGAAAGTGTCACGCCTGCTCGGAGCGAGAACGAGCCCAGGAAGGAAAGTCGTCCGTCCAGCCAGTTCGACATCCGGTCCGACACCGATACCTCGATCATGCAGCAGCAGACGCCCCGACAGCCCAAGCCCAAACGCTACGGGCCACGTCCGACGTGGTGGCTGGACGTGCTGTCTCCTACCGACCCGGAGATGCGGGTGATCGCCAAGACGTTTGGGATCCATGCTCTGACGGCGGAGGATATCATGATGCAGGAGGCCCGCGAGAAGGTGGAGCTGTTCCGCCATTATTATTTCCTGAACTACCGGACCTTTGAGCAGGATCCCAACAGCGAGAACTACCTGCAGCCCGTCAACATGTACGTCGTGGTCTTCCGCGAAGGCGTTCTGAGCTTCCACTTTTCACAGACGCCGCACCCGGCCAACGTGCGTCGGCGCATCCGGCAGCTGCGTGACTACCTCATCCTGAGCTCGGACTGGATCTGCTACGCACTGATCGACGACATTACCGACGTGTTTGGTCCGCTGATCCAGTCGATCGAAAATGAGGTTGACGACGTAGATGACGCCATTATGCAGATGCACTCGCGGGATGACGTGGACAAGGAATTCCGCCACGGCAAGAAAAACGACACCAATAACAACGACGATACGTCTCCAGTGGCAGGCGGCGACATGTTGCGACGGGTGGGCGAGTGCCGAAAGAAGGTGATGGGCATGTACCGGCTGCTGAGCAACAAGGCGGACGTGATTAAGGGTTTTGCGAAGCGCTGCAACGAGCAGTGGGAGGTGGCGCCCAAGTCGGAGATTGGCTTGTATCTGGGCGATATCCAGGATCACATCATGACCATGACGAGCAACCTGACACATTACGAGACGTGAGTATGACCCGGCGGGTCGGGGATCAGGACATAAACTGACTGAAGCAGGCTGCTGTCTCGCGCGCACTCCAACTACCTGGCTCAGATCAACATTCTGATGAACGAGCGCCAGGAGAGGACTGCCGACGTGCTGGGCAAGCTGACCGTGCTGGGGACAATAGTGTTGCCGATGAATATCATCTGCGGGATGTGGGGGATGAACGTGAAAGTTCCGGGACAGGATGTGGATAATCTGTATTGGTTTTGGTCAAGTATGTTGATCGTAGAATTTGTTTGTATTTGTCAGTTACTGACTTGTCGCAGTTACTGCCGGCCTACTCTTTTTTGGAGTTGTTTGCTTCTATGTCGCCAAACGAGTCTACCGAATTGTCTAGAATACAACTGGCAGGGTTTAGTCCTGCTAATTGTACAGTCATCGCTCTGCTTTTGTCGTACGATACCAGGCGGCACCTCCTTATCCAGCCATCCTCGTATATATAGATGGAACGAGGGTGACGACATGACATGACAGACGAACTGCTGACATTCCGAAGTCGTGTTTATGTATAAACGAAAAAGAAAAACCCTCTTGATAGATCTGTACTGTACATAGATAGATATATCCTCATAAGAACGCCTATTATTACATTATATATCCTTATCCTATTATTCCTTTCTTTCTCTCTCTCTTTTTTTCTTTTTTGGTTAAATTGGATTAGAAGGAATTTGATTAGAAGGGATTAATTGATTGGATTTGATTAGAAGGAAATGAATTTTGGATTTTGTCTTTGTTGTCGATTGACATCGTCATCTTTGGAGGCATTCCTTTTTTCTTTCTTTCTTTTTTGTACAGAGTACACAAAGCACACTGCACAAGTGCGAATAAATAAACAAACAAATGGATGGACGATGACAAAAAACGAGCAGATTTTGATTTAATAAATAGATAATGATAAATAACAAATAGATCATTTATAAATTATTTCCTTTTTCCTGATTTTCCTGATGTTATTTCCGTTCCGTTCCGTTCGATCGATCGATCCCATCGATCGATGGATAATAGATAAATAGATAGATTATTTGGTTAGTTAGTGTAGTCTAGTCTGGTACGGTACCAGTTGCCTATATATAGCTGACAGTCTGACACTGTCTTAAAGATATTTACTGTCGTAGTCGTTCGTAGGTAGTCAACTAAGAAAGAAAAAAAAAGAAAAATTCAATTCATCAATTGATTAATCAATCAATCGATCAATTTTTATTGATTCGATTAGGTAAGGTAAGGTTAAGGTAGGTAGGCCCGGGCTTGCTTGTTGCTTGTTGCTTGTCTGTACTGTACTGTACTATATATGTATGTACATACATACAGTACATAGAGTACTTAGAGTACTTAGGTAGGCTGGATTGATTGATTGATTGATTGATTGATTGATTGATAACAAACACAAGTGCACAAGTAACTAAGTAAGTAGTGTAGTAATGTATATGATTAATTGAACAGTTGCTTGCTTGCTTGATTATTTGATTATCTGATTCATCTCTCGGAAGTAACCAAGTAACCAAGTAGAAGTAGTTGATTGATTGATTGATCGATTGATTATTTGAATCATCTGTCAGAAGTAACTAAGTAAGTAATTTAGTAAGTAGCAAGTACTATATATACTATATTATATTAAGACACTCAATTAAGAAGAAGAAGAAGAAGAAGAAGGCAGGGGGAGAAGAAAGAAAAAGAAAAGAACGAAGGAAGCTAGCTCTGTCTGTACTGTACACAGTTCAGGCCAGGTCAGCGGCCAGTCAGCCATAGACAGACATACGCTGTCGATATATTATTTATTTATTGCCTTGAGCAGACAGACCTGATTCTTTTCGGCTTCGGGCTTCTGTGCTGGCGGTCATACATAAGATATTATAATGTTCGTCACTTCGTCATAACGGTAGCAGCAAACAAAAACAACGGCAGAAGAAAGAAGATGATAAATACACACGGAGGAGACATATACATGACAAGGAAAGAAACCCAAAGGAGCGACTTGATCAACAAGAGCAACGAACTGTCGAGCTCCTGCTGAATTCTCCAGCAGCAGTGTTTGTTTGCAAGCAAAACCAAAATGCCATTCCATTCCATGCCACGCCATGCTATGCCATGCTATTGCTCGCGATCCATCGATCGATCCTCGAGCCCCAATTCCGTACATGCTCCAATGCAACGCGAAGGGGTATTAATAAATCACTAAATCAATAAATCACATTAAAGGAAAGAACCCAGATAACACCCTTGCTGTCCACCGACAAAAGGAAAACAAAAACAAAAAGCATATTCGACCACTCATGGCAAGCATGTTGAAAATGCTGCCTCTGGATCAGCCCGAAAACATCCGGCTGACGGACGCCGTACCATCCCTGGCGACAGGTCGTCTGTTGATCCGCACCGTGTCGTTGCGGGGACCGCCATCGTCATCGCCGTCCCTATCCGGCGATACCTGGACCTTCGAGCTGATCGACGCCGATCGCACGCTCGAACTCAGAGGCAGCGAATACTTGACCACGCCCCGCACAATCAGCTCAAACGGATGCTGCAGCACCCGCTCCCACCGCTCCGTGCCGCCCTCTTCCGTCTTGTTGCCCGGTCTCGCCAGACGGATCCCTCCGGACGAACTGGACGGCTGACGGGCCCACGGCGACGGGTCGAAGATGAGGGGCGAATCGAACTCGAAGACCCGACCCAGCAGCATCGTCTGGGCGTCGCCTGAAGGATCTTCGGGTATGGGATCTGTGCCCCGATCGACCCCGTCCGTGGCCTGAACCTCAGGGGAGGACGGCTGCGGCTCGGCCAACGCACGTCGGACCATCTGCGCCAGTTCAGCGCGCCGCTTGCTGCGCTCCACGCGAGGGAAAGGGTTATCAGGATGCGGCCCATGGTCCCGCCAGAACTTCTCACTGCCGACATATCGGCTCCGGGCAAAAAGGTTCACATCCATGCTGCCGATCGCAATCGGAAAGATATTCGGATTGATGGCATTCACGTTCAGGTCGAGCATAATCTCCTGCTCCGATGCCAGGACGTTCGAGATCTTCGTGACGTGAACGTCCAGCAACGGCTTGGTCAGCGCGACGAGAAGGGTGGCCGCGCCGCCGATCAGGAGAAACACCAGGAAGGCCGCAATGAGACACCCGCCGTACCGGGAGAAGCAAGTCCGATGGCGCTGCTCCAGATATTCCATCTGCCGCAGACTGGCGCTGTTGGGCCGACGCCCGTTCCGGCTCCGCAGGCCTCGACCAGACCCAACCAGGGGCGTGCGCTCATCATCGGCGCCGTCACCATCGAAATCATCAGCGTACGCATCGCCCATGTTTTTGGGACTGCCGATGGTTCGATAGTTTTGATACGCGCGGGGGTTGTTCCCACGCCGGTTCTGACGGAAGCCGTTGCTAAAGTAATGTCGCGACGAGCGAGACGCCTGCGATTGGGACTGCGGGAATGGCGAGTCGCCGTCGAAGAAGGAGGGATATACACCTCCCCGGCCATGGCGGCCGAAATGATGATGACGGCTGGAGTGTCCATTGCTGTCGACCCGTCCGCTGCCGCGACCTTGCTCCAAGTCGCCGCCGTCGCCATCGAGGTTGTTGTAGTTGTTGTTGTTCGTAAACTTCATGCTCCGTTTGCCGGTCACGCCGTGGCCGTCTCGGAGACCGCTTCGCGATCGGCCCACAAACTGGTCCACCTGGCTGGCCATCGACGTGGTGCTTGGGGTTCGCGAGTGGTATCGATGTTGTCGGCCGGGGTGCGGGTCAGGCGGGTTGGACTCGTAGACGAAGGTTTCGTCCGAATCCGACACATCGGCCTCGTCGACCGCACTGGCGACCTTGGCTTCGAAAATGTCGGCCTTGGATGATGCATTTCCGGTCGGTTTCCGCGTAGATTTCTTCTTCTCCTTCTTGGGTCGAATAGTCTCCATGCTCGGTTTCATCCGGACCGTTCCTCCCTGATCGTTCCTCGAAGAACCTCTCTCCCCGGTGCCCACGCCCAGCGAGACCTGCGGAATCGAGGTGACGGTCTCGGTTTCGACGATCATGTTGCGCACTGAGCCATCACCCGGTTTTCGGGCACTGTTGAGAGACGTAAAAGACCGTTTCGGGAGGACATCGCCCGACGGTCGAGTCGTGGCCGCCTTGGGACGATTCTCGTCCTTGGACCCCGAGCTTTTGTTTCCACCGCTTTCACTCCCACTTTCCGCCATCTGCTTGACGGCTTCCTCGATCTTTGGGAGTGGAGCCTCTTCCGTCTGGCTCTTCGTGGTCTTGTCCGTCATCGGAGTCGAAGGTAGACTGGCTTCTTCGACGGTCTCCAACGTCGAGCCGCCACCGCTGGCGGTCCTGGAAGGACCGCGACGGAGGCCCGTATCACTGTCATCAGCATTGGCTTTTGTCGGAGAGGTGACACCCTCTTCCGGCGGCGGAGCTAGAGCAGATCGTTTGGTCGATATATTTGCGGGGGTTGACTCTTGTTGTTGTTGTTGTTGTTGCTGCTGTTGTTGTTCTAATCGCCTGGAGGCATTTGCCGGACCCGGACTCCGGGAAGCACCTCTCGTAATCGACGTCCTCCGTCGGGAAGCGGGCGTAGGAGCTCTGGAAGCAGAGTCGGACGTGCGGCGGGGCGGAGGAGGCATATTCGACTTGTCGGGACTGGGGACATCGAGCGACGGGTCGACAGGAGCAGGCTGCTGAAGGTCGGGCTTGCTCAGCTGAGAAAAGGCGGTTTGCACCGCGGTAGCAGAGGACGGGACGGTCGTCACACCAGGGCCAGCATTGACGGCGCCTCTGTTCGGGCTGGGGCTGGTACTGCTCTTGTGGGATCGAGAGGCACGGGCGAGGTTGTTGCTGCTCGCACGAGGAGTGACACGCACCGGCGAGGACTCGCGCGAGGAGAAGGTCGAGGTGGCCGCAGACGCGGGAGCCGACACGGGCGGCGAGATCCTGGGCGGCAGGGACACAGTAGAGGGCGGATTGGGCAGATTCTGATCGGTCGTGTCACCGTCAGGGCCACTGCGGCCACGGGCAGGCGCGGCGCCCTTGGGCTTCGCAGCGGTGGATTTGGAGGTCGCGGACGATCCGCTGGGGGATGCAGACGGCCGATCCGCAGTGGAGGCCATGGTCGAGTCGGAAGAGAAGGGGCACAAAACACAATCACACGACAGGTCCAATCATCCGGAGGGGAGCAGCAGAGGAGGACGGACGGAGGTGGATGTGCAGAGGGGTCCCCCGAGGTCCCCCTGGAAGCAGCACTGTCAGGCGTGTTTGCTGGACAATGAATTGCACCCCCTTCGGCGAGTTAGGCAGGCAGACAAATGAGCAGCAACCACATGCTGGAGGAAGGGCAGCTGCTGTGCTGAGGTCTTGCGAGCGATGCTGTGGCGCGCCGGCCGCTCGGAAGTTACGCACGCCAATGGCAGCTCCCCACGTCAGGGCCCCAGCAGCCAGGGCGAGAGCTAGATCGGCAGTCAGGGGAGCGGTGAGCAGGGGGCAGCAGGAGGCGGCGATGGAAGCAGAGGGGCTGGAGGGTAGAATTGATGGCTGTGGAGAGATGTTGTTTGGATTGCAATCGCAGCAGAGACGCGATGGAGGAAACGAAGGCAGACGAGATGGGAGAAGGGAGGTAAAAGGGAGGGAGAGGAGAGCGAGCGTCAAGAGAGAAAAAAGCCGCGTTCTAGAAGGCAGCGGCTGTGACAGAGCGTGACAGGCGGCAACACGGCTTTTCCGCCTGATCGGGGCCCGATCTTACACCCGTTACCATACCTGACGGAAGCATTACCTCAGCAGGCAGTAATCCAGCGGATTCTTTTACGAGGAGTAATTATTACATCTGCTGAGACAAAATAATCTTAAGATAATATTAAATCAATAATAATAATAATATAATATTAAATCACTCAGATCTAATGCAGTTGTCCCTCGATCATGACTCAGCTAAGAATAGCCGCCCTGCGTCGAAACGGGAAGGAGCCAGCCCCGATTCGGGAGGAAGGCACGACCCAGCTGAGCTGATCGCCCCCAAGGAGATCGACAACCCATCAACTTCTATTACAGACGAGTACAGAGAGTACGCCGGCAGATCTTGCATATGTAAGGCACGGAGTACGTAGTACTAGTACTGTAGAGTACATACAGCACTGTATGCCCATCGACAGAGGAGTGAGTTTCCGTATTTCTCTGCCGTGGTAGATAGACTCAGTCTCCGCATTACATCTCTCATCTATTACCCCTCCTCACTCGTGTCTGGAGCTATCTCTCGCTGCTCCCGGTCTGGCCAGTTCTAGCCCACGCCACAGCCCCCGTGGAGTTAACTGGACCGTTCAAGCGGGGTTTGACTTTGCCTCCTCTTCTCCCCCAACAGGGGAAGTAAAGAGAAGGGAACAAAAGAAAGAAAAGCTCGGGTTGGGCCGCCGTGTCGGTGCCTGGAAACCTTAGCACCTTAGGTAATACCTATTCGCTGCCTAACAAACAAGGAAAGGAAGTACCTAAAGGATTTTTTTAAGGTTGTTGTGTTGGCGGACCAATGGAAAATGTCGGATTGAAGCCACCTTTGTAAACTGCGGGACAAGTATTAGACAAGGACAAGGACAGCCTGGTCAGGGAGTGCCCAGATCGTGTTTTCGACGGACAGGATGTGCACTCCTGGTATACCTACGTATAGTGTGTCAGTAACGCCCACGCCTTGAATCTCAGCATCGCCACGTATGTAAGTCTCGTGTCAAGATATGGGAAGAACAGCATGCTGGTACTCTCTTCGTATGACATGTCTTGCTGGATTCATAATACAAGGAGGAAGTTGAATGCAGAAAAGCGATAATTATGACGCAAAAATTTAATAAGTAGCTCATTAATTATTGACATGCACAACAATCGTATCGTATCAGATCAGTCTAGTTCATACATCGTCACGTCATCAATCATCCCAGATTCCATCATGTCATACTCGACAAGAAACCATTAGTATAAAACAAGTCAAAAGAATCAATCATCAAGATAATGCATACAGAAAAAACAGTAATAGAACAGAGGAAAATTACTACCACACTTTCCCCCCAGATCGTCCCTCCGAAAACACGCTGTGCAAGAGTTGCTCCAGCTGGTCGACGATCCCTTCCTCCTCCCGTTCTGGAAGACGATGCCCCTCCGCATCGAACCGGTCTGGCAACTCAATCGTCGATTCCGAGTCCGACGGATCGCCAGGTGCAGGTTTAGGTTTCGTAGGTGCAGGCATGGGCGCATGAGGAACAGACGAACGGCGATGGTGACGTCGACAGCGATTTGAATCCGCGCCGTCAATCGTCGAGTCACTGTCGTCGGTTTCATATCCCCGATCGGCATCATGATCACTATCACTATCGTCGGAAGTAGTTTCCGGGGTGAGATCAAAAGCAACCGACTTGGACTGTGATGGCGATTGATACTGTTCAGCGCCCCCTCTTACACCTGAAAACTTTCGGGTCAGTCCGAGCTAGTCTTCAAATCGGGTCCATCGAACCCACCATCTGGTCTGTGATGCTCATCGACGGGTGGGGCACTCACATTCTCATCAGCTCTGGGGGAGTAATGCTCGGTCCTTGGCGGTGGCCCTGGTGGCGGTG